TATATATATATATATATATACAGAAAAACAACAATTAATATTAAATTATAAATAATTAAAACAATATATAGAAAATTCTTTAGAAAATTAATAATTTTATACCATAAAATTTTATTTTGTATATTTTTGATTGACTTACTCATAAAGTGTTCTGGTTTTTTATCGCTATAAGTCGCCTCTCGAAGGCTGCAATGATGAACTGTAAATCCGATACTTTCAAGTAATTCTTTTAATTCCTTGCGAGGATTTTTTGACTCTTGATATGGATAAATATTTTTTATCGCGTCCTATAAAAAATTAATAGTAATAATTCACAATTTACAATTCAATATTAAACTAAAAGTAACTTTTGTGAAAACATGTGATAAAAGTATTAAAAATAGTTAAAAAACAAATTCAATTATAACTATATTTTAATAATACATATATATTACAGGTACATATGATGTAAAACGAGTGTCCCGCGCCAAAATTCTGATAACTTCACATAAATCATGAAATGCTACTATATACAGAAGAATAGTTCCATTATGTCGTAGCATTTGATAAATATTTTCTAAAGCTTGTCTGTTAAATAAAACAGAGAAAAATAATCAATTTTTTTTAAATGCACTTACTAAATCATTTTCTAGCAGTATATACATATTGTATTTCTTAATATCATTATACAGAACATATAAAATAAACTCATATATTTTGCACATTTATGCAAATTTTATTATTCTTTTCTTAATTTATATTATCATATTTAATAAATTTGAAGAAATATTAAAAACAATCATTAAAATTAAAATATCGAATGCATAAATGTACTTGAAATTGTTTTACTCTAAAATTGATGCACCCACATGTATAAATATATTTGAAAGAAATAATTAATTTAAGTTGGTTTAAAAAGTTTATTTTAATAATGTTTAGGCAATAACAATTAAGAACTTTAATAAATGAGAGTAGCAATAATTTATATTTCTATATATATATATATATACAATATAGTATATCGCTAATTAAAATTGGTTTTTATTAAGTTGATTGGTCTTTGCAATCCGCGCTGATGTCTATATCTGTTTTTTATTCAATTTATTTGAGTTTCTTTTATTTTTACTATTTAAGAGTTAAAATGTATTTTAGCTTAAATTATGTTTTATATAATATATTGCTTACCGAATATCGTTGCACCAGTGTAAAGTATAAAACGAAAATATGTGATTAAATTCAGAAATATATTTCTTAGGTAAAGTTTTAGTTTCAATATTCAATACATCGAATTGAAGCCGTTTCTCGTCTCCAAATGATTCATTTGCATATTTGATCATGCTCTCCAAAATATCTATACCTTCACAAAAGTATTTAATTATATAATTATTTATAATTTCGATTTTTGCCATTAGAATTATACAATTTATTATTTTTTTACCAATTATTTGTCCATTTGAGTCTATACTTGGTAATAAAAATTCCTTTGTTATATTTCCAGGACCGCAACCGATATCCATACACTTTCCACTTATTTTCACTAGATTCTCGGCAAACTCTTCAATTATAGCCGATACTCCATATCTTTGAACTTTATTAGACGCACCGTAATCTTTTGGACTTGTCATGATTTTTTCAACTTTAGTACTATAGTTTTAGAAGTGTATTGTGCTGCAATATATTTCTACATGTTTATATACTCTTCGCCGCCATAATGGGCGTCCACAGGGGGGTGCAAGAAGGGGTATTTGCCGCCCTCCCCCCACCAGGCGACAGACGCGCGAGCGAATAAAAGCATGTGTGTTGAGATCTTAACATGCCTTTTCATGCTGACACTTGATGCTCATTTTTAGCGTCCAAATAAATCACGTAATTAAAATTGACGATTCAGAGTTGTCAATATTATTCTTTTAATTTTATAAACGGAACCGTTACATAAATACTTAATTTCGCGGAAACAGCACTTTGGATATGTAAAATTATCGTTTGCCTTTTTTTCTCAATTGTCTGTCTGGTCTTAGATATACTCGTGAAACATTAATACGGATCCAAAAATAAATTTTACTTTAAATGCCTACTGTCCTTGCGGAAACTCAAATTAGCTATGTATTCCAGGTAAATATATAGATTAGGGGAGCCCCCCCCCCTGATAATCTTGACCTTGACATATGTTGTCAAGGTCATGACCCTGAGTAACCTCCCGCAGGTTTTAGGTGGCGGTCACTGTCCGTTAAAAAGTTAGTAACAAAAAGTTTCAAAATTAACGTACCATTTCTCGGAAATTATACATATTAACGTATCATTTCTGCCATATATGTATTATAACAAGTACTATTTTACATCTCCTTCCGTTTAGAAACGTTAAACTTTCCACGCGAAGTAACTCTCACCTCCCCCAACCTCCTGCGAAGAGGCACACGACTTCTACGATTGGACTGTTGCTATGATAGTACTGTCGGGGCAAACCTCTGTGACGGTATTGCACCCGCCCGTGTGTGTGTGTGTGTGTGTGTGTGTGCGTGTGTGTGTGTGTGTGTGTGTGTGAGAAATATCAAGTAATAGACTCATAATAATCGTTATATAACGAATGGAACACACACACACACGGGCGGGTGCGGGGGGGGTGGCCGAGGGCACACCGTCACAGAGGTCTGCCCCAACAGTACTATCATAGCAACAGTCCAATCGTAAAAGTCGTGTGCCCCTTCGCAGGAGGTTGGGGGAGGTGAGAGTTACTTCGCGTGGAAAGTTTAACGTTTCTAAACAGAAGGAGATGTAAAATAGTACTTGTTATAATACATATATGGCAGAAATAATACGTTAATTTTGAAATTTTTTTTGTTAATAACTTTTTAACGGACAGCGACCGCCACCTAAAACCTGCGGGAGGTTACTCAGGGTCATGACCTTGACAACATATGTCAAGGTCAAGATCATCGGGGGGAGCTCCCCTAATCTATATATTTACCGTATTCCATTATATAATTTTGATATAATCATGCTATATATCTACTTGAATATTACTTGAAATATGGTCTTCTCCTTCTTAGAAAAAATCCTATGGACATTTATGGGTATCAAAAGGAGTAATGTCCAAGATACGTATATGGTAAGGGAGGATCCCGATTGCCTACAAAACGATTGCCTACAGCTTCGTTTGCACACAACAATATTGCACACAGCGTATTGCACACACGACATTATTGCACACAGCACATTGCGCACAGGACATTACATTATTGTACACAGCGTATTAATACATAAAATTAAGGAGGAGATTATAATCATATAAAACGAGATCAGCACGCGCGCGCGCACTCGCACATACATACATACTAGAGAGGTGATAAATATTAAATATTTTTAAGATAGTATTAATAAGAGAAAGATGATTTTTTGAGATAATAATAATTTTTATCGTTATTTTTTAACCTTTGCAAGATGGAAGAGTTACTATATATTGTGATACTGAAATAGTATCATATTTGGAAGGAAAGAATACAACTAGTAGTAAATCATATTGAGTAATATGATTTAAATTTTAATTTTCCAAAAAAGTTGCAAGATTTTAAAAATAGAATTTCGTCTTTCCTATAAGTTAACAAAAAAATATTTATGTAACGATGTTTATAATAAACAACAAGAAGACAAGGGTGATATAAGAGTCAAAACTTTCAAATATAAAACGTAATATAAAATGTAATCTCTCGTTACAGGTTTCGGCTCTTGGATTGATCCCTCCTTAAACATATTAAACAGCAGTCAAACAGTCGTTGAACAAAAAGTTGCTCATACAAATTCTATTAGCTTTGTGAGTCTCCATATAGGAAAGAAATGTGTGTTGACCGCATTATCTCAACCTGCGTATAAATACAAATTAATAGATAAGAAATAAGGACTCTTTATATAAAAATAAACAACAAGAAGACAAGGGCGATATAAGAGTCAAAACTTTCAAATATAAAACGTAATCTCTCGTTATAGGTTTCGGCTCTTGGATTGAGCCCTCCTCAGACGTATTAGACAGCAGTCAAACAGAATTCTTATCCATTTCTTATCTATTAATTTGTATTTTATACGCAGGCTGAAATAATGCGGTCAACACACATTTCTTTCCTATATGGAGAGACTCACAAGGCTAATAGAATTTGTATGAGCGATCTTTTTGTTCAACGACTGTTTGATTGCTGCTTATTAATATGTCTGAGGAGGGATCAATCCAAGAACCGAAACCTGTAACGAGAGATTACGTTTTATATTTGAAAGTTTTGACTCTTATATCACCCTTGTCTTCTTGTTGTTTATTGTTATATAAAGAGTCCTTATTTCTTATCTATTAATTTGATGTTTATAATTTTAAAATGCTTAACTTTAATAAAATTCTTTTTTTCTTCTATTATAAATATATATATATATATTTTAGTTTTTCTTTATTATAATCAATGTAATAATGCGTCACATATTAACAAGGAATATTGTTAGGTATATTTCAATTCTTTGATTTTGTTAAGCTTTGAATATGTCAAAGTAATTTGTTAAATAAATATTGTTAATGACTCCGTTTAATCTTATTAATTATTATATTATCTTCTGTTGAACACTTATACTTTTATCTTGTAATTTTAATTTACTATGATATTTTTAAGAAAACATAGTTAATTATGTCTACATATTTTTTTTAAATAAGTTTATGTTTTCTTCAATTGATTTATCTCGTTATTCTGTTCATAAAAATATTTAGGTACAATTATTAAAAAAATCATTTACAAGATATTTAATATTTTATTTGATATTGTTTGTTTTTAAGTCGCCTGAAAATAGACGTTGGTTCCTACTTATATGACTATTGCGAAGAATATTACTAAGGCCTCAGTAGTCCAATTGGCTAAGACATTTGTGCATAAAGCAGTCGATCCGGGTTCAATTCTCGGCCGAAGTAATATTTTTCGCAATGTAATTAAATTATTTACAGATTTTTAATATGTCATTCATAAACTTTAATATGTCATTCAACGTATTATTAAAATCCAAGATGCAATGAGCATCAAAAATTGTTAGATTGTTAGTCAACTCGTAATAGTACTGCGGTAGTTTATTAGTTTATATTGTAAGTCTGAAAAAATTTCGGCGCGCATTTAGGGATCTACATACGTAGTATATAAATTTACACGAAATTATATTAGAAGCATCCAAGATCCAGCTCGACCGTAAATGGCTTATTCTCATCGGTATTTAGTTTAAAACTCTCACGGTCTAAATAAGATTTGATATTGTTAATATTTTATGTCAATGTGTGCTAGAATAAATTATAAAATATCCTGTAAACGGTTTCTTCCTATTATAATACTTTTATATACAAAATAATTAGAAAAATTATATTTTATAAAAAAATCACTCCGTTTTAAAAAAAGGAGGTAACCTCATACTTGTATATTCGTATGTATTTTCTTAGTGCGCGCAAGCGTACCTAGAATGAAACAACGTAATCAAAGTATATCCGCCGTAAAATCATTTTTACTTTCATTTGAAACATTTTTTTGAAATTATTCCACTTTTATTTAAAACATATTTCTTCGTATCACCAAAAATATATATAAGTGAAATATTCAAGATTTCCATTTAAAACCTTATAAATTTCTATAAATCTCTATTAAGGTCAAATTTAATAACAAAGCACTTCAAATTTCTCTCTCTCTCTCCCCCTCCCCCTCCCCCCCTCTCTCTCTCTCTCTTTCTCCGTAATGTGAATTCACAACTGAATAACAAAAGCATTATCTTTTTGAATTGAATAGAGCTAGGTTACAGTGCTTGATATATGATTACTGATTATGCTTTAAAATTAGAAATAATTTTGGTGCGCAGATTGCAGAGCTAGATATATATATATATATATATATATATATATACAAATTCACACACACACACACATACTAAAATACTATTTAAAATTGAGATAGAGCTTAAACCGATAAGAGACTTACGTTACTCATTGTTAGTTATGTATATTCGCATTACGGTCTTGAGACACTTTGTTTACTTCACATGCATGCTTCAAATTCCTTACATATATTAGAACCAGTTAAAATACTTGTTATGTGGAGAGGTTGTGGCTGTGTGTGACATAATATTTTTCACAATAAATTATTTACAGTTTTTTTTAGGATTTTTTTTACTGTATTAATATTATTAAATTATTTGTAATATCAAAAACATGTTCCTTAAATTATACCAACAATTGTTCCAAATCAGTTGATTTGACTCTTTGTAATGGATATAATGTTTTAACGTCTAATTTGACAATAATTTAAAAAAAAAATATGTTAAACACGTCTGTGGATTTGGAACAATTGTTGGTATAATTTAAGGAATATAGTTTTAAACGTCATGTTGGTTCTCGTAGAGCATTAAAGATATAGATCACTCAGCTATGAAACTGAAGTGGATCGGCGATTTTTGCTTTGATGAGTGCCAGGATGGTAATAATAAGTAAACGATTATTGTGCTGAGGATGACTTAAAAATAAAGTCGAAACGTACGAGAGTTGATATTACAAGATTTATAATTTATTACGCAACCTAACAACCAGCGGTGGACTCCTATAGCCTTGAAGACATGTTTTTGATATTTGAAATTTAAGGAGTTATTTACATATGTTGAACGTAACATTAATTTATTAATAATTTGATTGTAAATTATTTGTCAATTTAATTTATATTACAATATTATTCCTGTTCGATACAAATTGCGGAACTAGAAATGTATATCAAATCAACGAAATATTATTTAAGTACTAATAAATAATATAAATTATACACAGTAAATAAAGAATTATGAAATTTTGATATTATAATAATAATATCAAGACATGTTACACGTTTAATACAGACATATAAATTACATGTCACTATAGCTTATAACTAATAATGACAAAATTATCATATTCTTTATAAATTAATATTGTGTTTTAAAGAACCAAATTAATATACGATAAGACATGTTTTGAAACATTTAATTTTTTAACAGACCTTATATTGATTATAAAGGATATTTTATAACTTTTTTTTTTCGCGCGATAAAGAGAGTAATAGTAATAATATTTAATACACTTCAAAGATTTTATTACCGCATTGTGACAATTCGACAAATATACATAAATACTTTTTTTCAAATAAGAAAAAGAAATACGGCCAACATAGACTATATAATTTATACATTAAATTATTTTACAATTTTTTATTGAAACAAAATTATAGGGTAGGAAAAAAAATAGAAAACAATAAGATTTAAACTGTTTTAATTGATAACTGAATATATTTTTTGTATATGATATATCCGACATTTTACAATATATACAATATATTATTATGAACATAAAAATTAATTACGTTTTAATTACTATGTATTCTTTTACTTTACAAGATATTTGTAGCATAATATCGCAGTATAAATATTTTATTATATATACATTGGCATATATGGCGATTGTGGTGTAGAAAGATACATGGCTGCTCTTTATGCCAAAAATTGAATTCAAATCCCATTATACCCAGAATACACATGTATCAAATTTCATTTGATCGTTTTTTTCGGAAGGCAATAGCAAACCATCAAAAATATTTTTGCCATGACTTAACCTTTTATAATAGAAACTGTTCGGGATCATTAAAACTGTTCCGATAAAAGTGGATGTATTGGACTAGATGCATGTATTACATATACATATATATACATATATATATAGACACACATATATATAATATTATATTATATATATACATATTAATAATTACAATAAATTAATGGCGCGAAAATATACAGTAATGTTATATGATGATCCTAAAAAAATAGTTAGATATAATATCTGTACGTTTTTGTAATAGTAGCTAGTATAAAACGCTTGTAAAATGTAAAATTTAGAATATATAAGATAAATTGCATATCTATGATCAAATTAAAATATGAATTTTAAAAATTTCAGAACGTTCTTTTCCTTATTATTTTCTATTTCTTTTATGAATTTATCTAATGATCAAATAAATATTAAAATAAAATTCAACATTTAGTGTTGATAATTACGTGGAATTCTCTCTCTCTCTCTCTCTCTCTCTCTTTCTCGCTCTCACACACAAAATAACAATTAGTAACAAATTTATGTTATTGTCGATGTGGTGGAGGGCAAATACATTCGTCGTGTAAATGATCTTTTAGCCATCCAATGTAATTTGTTAGTTTCGTAAATACTCCAGGAAAGTTTGGTCTCCCACATCCTCTTCCCCAAGAAACTAAACCTAAATAAATATTAGATGGCTACACTTTTTTGTTTATAATAACTGTTCGAAGAGAAAAATTATTTTACAATCTTAGAATTAAATTTAGGACATTTGAAATTATAAATATGATAAAATAACATTTTATTATTTTAAATACGTACCTACTACTTCAAGTTGTCCGTAAATTCCTTTAACATGTAAAGGACCACCACTATCGCCCTTAAAACAAAAGTAAAAATGAAAAATATATACAGAAACAATAGTATAAAAAAATAGCATATTTTATTCTTTGAAAAGTTAGACATTTTAAAATTATCATTTATTGTATTAATATTTAATACAATAATATAATTTTAAAGACAATTTTTCGCTATAAATATTATAAATAATTTACACATACACGCACGCATGCACACGCGTATGTGTACATATTTTTTGTGCACTACTCTTCTTAATTCAAAAGTATTAATTATTTTTATTTATTTCAAATTGTGGTTAACACTTACAAAACAAGCATCTCGTCCTCCTACTGCTCCTTCTGGATGTAGTATATAGCCGGCACAAAACATATTTTTGGTGATGCGATCCTTCGCATATCCGGCTTGATCGCATTCCTCTTGTGATAAGATTGGCAGATTGACTTTTCGTAATTCGTTACTTACCGGTTTGGTCTCGCCTGTCCGACCCCATCCCACTGCGGTAGCGAGCGCGCCAGTATAATCAATTGTTTCTGTAATTTTCAAATTATAATTAATATTTATTATTGCCGATTGCATTAACATGAATTCTATTGAAGTAAAACTTGTTACGCAGAAGTATAAAATATTGGAATTTAAAAATATAATAATAAATTCGAAACTTATCCAATAAAAATTATTAACTATATATGTATATGTATATACACAAAATAATAGTCAATAATTAATTTAGATATTATTTAAGTAAATAACATAATAATGCACACACATATTGTATGTAATAATAAATTTATAAAAAAAAAACGTAACAGACAAAAGGAAATATTGAGAACGATTAATATCAGTGAAACTTAAATGTTAAACTTTTATAAAATGTAATATCTTAATATTAGAAATACTTTGTTGATGTTAAAAGTAACTTACTGTCTTCTGGTAAACATGCTGTTCGTACAATACCATTTACAGATACGGGTTCATCCATTTCTATGATTGCAATATCATTATTGAAGGTATAACTATGGAAATTCTCATGAATAATTGCCGATTTAATACGTCGAACTATAGCGTTTCTGCTTACCGAGGAACGATCGCTATCCATCAAAACAAGTTTGATGGTTTTAATATCGAATCTGAAAATTATTTTAATCATATAGATATGTTATAACATAATTCTGAAATTAAATATATACGATTGTAATTGCTTGATACATACCCTTGCAAACAGTGAGCCGCAGTAAGTACGTGCTTTCGTGTTATTACACTTCCAGCACAGTAAAACGTTCCCTTTTTACTCATACTAACAAGCCAGGGGTAATCATAAACACTCGTAACATTACCACCAACAATTCTCGATTTTCTTCCAAGCCCACAAACTGTAATGCGTTAATACATAATTGTGACTGGAATAATCGATATAATTGGGCAGTTTTACTTAACATACGCTAATTACTTATAACTAATTAAGTTTTGTGTATTACTAATTGTAAGAGGGACAATCTCATTAAATCGGATCTTTTAATTTTATTTTATTCTTATACATTATATAAAAACAAGATTACAAATGAAAGTAAAATTTTTTATTATTACTTTAACAATAATTTAAACGTAAATTGTGTAACAGCATGTATCGAATTATGCAAAAAACAGAATATTTTAATACTATAATTTTATTCTATATGACAATTTTATATTATTACTATGGATGTTTTTCATATGCACAATACTTACTAATTCCATTAATTTATATTAAAATTAAATCACGCTTATTATGCTTGTAACAGAGACAAATTATTACATATAATTTTCTGTTGATCGAACATGCATAATTATATCTATTGTCGTTATAATATAAAGATATAAAAGATTTACGAATGTTAATTTATGTTTATGTTCTTATAATGTTTTCTATATGTTTCTTGCGTAGATTTCTAATTAAGTATATAATGATCAAACATTAGTTCAAATATTTTTATTTACCGCAATCGTTGCAAAGGTTTGGCTTTTTGGAAGGAAGTGTAAACGCAGGCTCAAAATCGACATAAGACACCTCATCTATTGTCGGGTGATGAACTTCAGCATTCGTAATATTATAGTGTACTTGAGCATTTGAGGTAGGCAAATTTCGCTCATTGTTCGATAATGTCTATAAAAAAGAGAGAATATATAAACAGATATTTCTAAATTATTAATTCTATATGTTTTTTTAATAAATATTTTATTAAAGTGATAAAATTATAACATACTAACAATGTATAATTTTTAACAATAATAAATATAATTTACTAACAATGTATAATTTGTTGCAATAATATTTTATGCATAATATTAAAAAAAAAATATATTATATACGGATTATTTGTACTCCTGCAGAAATGTAAAGAAAAAATGAAAATTAAATTATAAAAAGGTTAATAGTCTATTAATGAGAGTAAACCGGTATTCTTTCTTAATAAGTGCATTTTACAGTTTATAAATATAAAGCTTAATTTAAAAATTCTAATAGTTCTGTTAAGTTTTATTTTAATGTAAATTTAAACTAAACGAAAACAAGATGTTGTCATTGTTACTATTACATTATCTTCTTAGAAACATTGTCCATTTAAATAATAATTGTTTAACTTACCACACGAGGCAATGCATAACAACAGCTCAGACATAGAAATAGCACAGGAATATATTTTGTTCTTGCGTAATCGTCCATGTTGTATACGTGCGGTTTCTGGTTTAATTAATCCTTGCCAATACGTGTAAACTTGTTTTGTTGTCGGAAAATTCAGAACCGCGCACGTGCTTACACCGGTAACGTGAAAAGTCTAAAAGTATCCCGGCCGTTTTGCCGTTTTATAGTAAATTATAACTAATGAAAAAGCCCAGCGACGTGTCTCGGTGGGGATCGTCAACCTTGAGTGGTACGTTTGCATTGGCAGATGTTGCATGTGACAGCCTTTAAATCACCCGGTCGGTCGGTGTACGCGCCCGTTGTCTCACCTGCACAAGTACCGTCTCAGGTACAAGCACAATGAGAGTTTGCGCGTACGCATAAGCGCGACAGTTTGTGGCGCAATCGACCATCGACCACCACGAACGTCCAATGTCAACCCGGTCCACCTCCTCTCACAGCGACCCTTCATTTCAGGGATCCACCGAGACTGGATCAATGTCAATTTCGTCAGCGGATGAACGCGAATGCCACCGCGCCCCACGGCCGTTCCGATTCATTGTCGCGGTATGATAACTACGACCACGGTGTCAGCGACAATGACGATGATGATAACAACGTCGTTGATAATGATGATGATAATTATAACGAAGACGATGGATTATTACAGTGATGAACCATTGTTGCTAATAAATTACACGAGCGAAATAATTACAAGAATTTCGTTCTTTACTTTATAATATCATGTTGCGTGCGAAATACTGCCGAGATCCTTATATTTGTCATTGTTCCATGTGACACTTTCTTCAAATACGTATTCATCAAGCAAATTGGTAGCACTTTTTTTCTAGAAGAAAGTGCAATTTGCAATATGATTTTTTTTACATGCTTGGCGTGAAAGCTATTGATTGCGATTATGCACGGCTAAAATCACTATCTTCTAATACGTACCATAATAAGCTTTGTAATTAGTTTGTGTATGCTTAAAAATGATAATTTTGAAGATAATTTTAAAAATTATAAGTTTGTATGATACAATTTTCCAGTTTCAATTACAAAAAAATATATATATATATATCAAAGTAATAATTAAAAATTAAATACAATATAAAGGCATACGAGCCAAAAATATATATATTTAAATCAATAACAAAATAAATAATCAATTAAGGATCGGAAGCATTTGATTATTGTAATAAACAAAAAATTAATAATTGTTTACATGTAATCATTGTTTTAACTTTACATGTTACACTACAGAAATGACATACTTGAATATGACTTACGCACCCTAATTTGGCTGTTTATAACTTTCTAAAAACAAATATATTTAAAAAACTTTTGTTTAATCGAAATGCCAATCATTAAATAACATAATGATATCAAGCCAATATATTATTAAATTTATTAATAAAAAAATTATAAGCAATGCAAAAAAAAAATACTGGAAGAACGCTAGGAAAAATTAAATATATATAATTAAAATATAAACGTTTCATATTTGAATACTTCTTAGAAGTTTCTAATATTTGCTCAACATATCACGGTATGATGTTTTGTTGTGGTTACAATCAAGTCACTGTAATAATGGCTTGTCCTTGTTCGATTTCAATGAGCTAGAATAAACCTGCAGCGTGAAAGGAAGAAGTTATACAATTTTCTCGGACTCTATTAAGATTGTGGTTACAATCATAAAAATACGATGAGTTTGAGCTAATAAAACGTTTGCGGATTCTCAAGGATTTTTAATCATTTGTAAGAAAGAATTAAGGGATTTATGCAGTAAACGCAATATACGATAAATGTAAACATACGAAAAGACCTTCAATTAAAAGTACCGCAATTTACTCTACATAAAACTGAATTAGTTCCACATCATTATTACTTATATTTCTCAAGATTGGTAAATATCGTATTTTGCAATTCATTAACTTACAGATAATTTTACTTTCACTACACAGGTGGCCTACTTATAATTTTCAATCAAAGTCAAAATTGCACTCAAAATTGAAGTAGATTCCAAAAAATCAGCATTGTGTTTCTTTGAAAAGATTCATAAAAATGTCAAACAAGCCGTCAAACTCTTTAATTACATTTGACTCGTTAAATCTAGGAGGATTATATTTATTTTTTCTTTGTAACCATCAGATACAATACTTGTGCAATAAATATATATTAGATCAGTGCAAAAGTTCGTATTCAATTTATCATACAAAATTAATAGTACATCGGGTACGAATTTTTGCACTGATTTAATATATTAAGCTTACCTTTTTATCTTTATATTTAATCTGTTTTACTTGCCATATACACGGCTAATGCTCATTTCCACCAATATAGATTAACTTTAATCTCGGTTCAATTTACTCTTTGTCTTTTTCTAGTTCTAAAAATTAGAAACAGTTGAACAGTAAATTAAACCGAGATTAAAGTTAATCTACATTGATGAAAACGGGCACAAGTCAAAAATGACTTCAATTCTTATTGATTGTGAGGAAAAAATTTGGTTACTTATTAACTAATTATTGTGTGTGCGTAAAGCATTTTGCACAAATGGGCTATATCTTTAAAATAATTAGACAAGGAAAGAAATGTTAAAAACAATGTTAAATAATATAATTTTAATTTTTTAAAGATTTTATATATATTTAGTATATTTATGTACACGTACATATTACATTTATATTTCGAGCTGCTGCAATTTTAAAATTGCAATTAATGCACGTATCATAGCACTGATAATATCATTCTATATGTTTCCCTTCTGTTTTTCGCGCGCGCGCGCGTGTGTGTGTGTATGTGTGTGTATTATTTACATAATTATTTTAATATAATTGTGAAGGGTTTCCCTTTTTTATTATATTTTTTAATGATACTTTTGCTATGTTATCTTTGCAACCTGAAACTCTACCTAAGAATTACGTATTCCTGTTTTTTTTATGTCATCTGAGACAACAAATTTCTGTCCGTGAAAAGATTACATCGTAGATTTAATCTGACCTTGAAGATACGTGAAAATAAAGCAAGGCTTCTGATAAAGTTAGACATACATCGAGACAATAAGGTAATGCGTCTCGCCCGCATGAGGGTCTCGTTACCTATATACCTTGACCCACTGTTACAGGTTACAGGTGGTGTACAATCTGTTGCCCTGCCGCACATCTTATCTCGTTTGTTCAGCAATAATTGAAGTTGATAATTCAGATCAGACGGAGAAGTGCTGATAAGGACAAAGATGGGAACCTGTCAAAGAATCTATCATTTTCTATATCATTTGGAATACCATGAATACATCGCACTCTATGCAATATGACACGAGCGCTTATGTCATAATGCTAGAGATTTATAAAAGTGTATCTTTTAATAAATCAAAATGCTCTCAAATTATAATACAATGAGATTTATTCAAACTTTCAAATCTACGTCTTCAAAAGATGTATAATGTTATAATGTATGACACTCTTTATTCATGCGATATTTTACATACATAATAATGGAATACCTGTACGTACAAAGAAAAATTTTTGTGTGTTTTTATTTAAGAACTGATTTGGAATACATCTATAATTTATTTTATGTAATTTTCTAGGACAGACAACAAGAAAGCTTGTTGCTGTAAGCTTTCTTGCTGTATAGATTGCAATTACACTTTATTTTATCTACAAAAACGCACTTATTAATTTTACGACAAAATTATCTTTGAGTGTACGTCTTAAATATTTAATAAATACTGCGTTTATTTTATATATTATATAAAGACAAAGAATTTTGATAGAAAATACATAAAAAATGTACATTTTTTAATCAATATTTTTAATCATTTTATTTACGATTTACAAAAAAAAAGGAATAAAAATATGGAATGTGCAAAAATAGTAAAAAATGTTTTTATATTTTGTTTTGCTAATAAATTACTTTTAACTAGGATATTCGCTTTTGCTCTTTCTTTATTTTAAAAAGAGAAATCATTGGAGAAAGAAGAAAAAGAATTATCTAAAAGATATAGCATGTTTAATAAACTTGTTTAACAGATTTCTTACATACTTACATTTTTTTGCGATAAATTTACATACCGCTAGCCTAAATTTTCACTTCTGCTACCGGCTTATCCACTATTCCATATAAATAAAGACGTGACACCAAATCGACGGTTTGTGTGAAAGTATATGCTGCCTCGGCAGGAAGTGCGGTGGATCAGATTGGTTTGATACTTCTTTCAGTGCACAGTAGGAAATAACGTACAGTGCTAAATTTTTAAGTGCTAAAAAGAATGCTGTTTCGATTTATATTATTATTAACTCTTGTCGCAGTGGCAATAACAATCACCATTGATAATGAGGTATCATTGATGTGTTGAACAAGTGTTGATGGTGTACTGTTTTTGTAATTTACAATTACTCATACACAGATAAATTGTGGATAATTATAAATAATTTGTTATTTATAAAATAAAATATGCAAAGAAGTATATTAAAAGTGATATGTATACAGAAATAAACATAGGAACTTTCAAGTTTGTTACATATTTTTAATTTTATTTACTTATTAAAAATTGCTTTTGATAAATAACACTTATTAATAATTCATTAATAATTTATGTTATTTAAAAATTTTTCTTTTTAATATTTAATGTTAATTATATTTACAGCTAATTTGTATAATATATATGCTTTGCACTAAAATATTTTTTACAATATAAGTTTTATAAATGCAATTAATAATTAACCAAATACACTTTTATTGATTTCTATGTGATAACAAATATCATAATTTATATAATATGTAAAAATATATTTTAAATTATAGTTGCAATCAAACTTAACTATACTTGTGGAGAAGCAAAACTTGAATGATACAAGTGGAATTGATAATGATAAAGGGTTTTGGGAATGGCTGTTTGGTTCTGTGACACCATATCCACCAACAATCATAGAACCACAGCAACCAGAGAAGTGCTTGAAATGCAGTATGTTTAAATTTAAATTTTCAATTTTATGTTAATATTGTATTTTTACATCGTAAGTAACAAGTAAATATTGTCGATTATTTAAGTATTCTTTATGTGTACATTTTTATTTTCAGTAGTTTTTGATATAAGAATTTAAATACGCCAAATTACACAGATTATATTTAAACAGTCGCTTGTTCATAAATTACGCATGCGGTAATATTATTAAATGGACACTTTAGAGTTTAAACGTGATCTGTAATTGATCACATTTGAACTTTTAATATTTCATAAACTACTACTTAAAATAAAAATTTACACATAACTTTTCTATACTTAATTTTTTGAAAACTAGCTTTCTTAAATCCTGAGATGATATTTAATTCGTGGGATCCTGTATATTGCAATAAGATATTATTGAATAAAAAAAGAAAACTTTACATATATACAAACTTGAGATATATACAAAATGTATACATATATGCATTGCATATGAAATAATAAGATTCATTTATAGCTTGTGGTTTAACAAATAAACACAATCGTATTGTTGGAGGCGTCGAGACGCTTGTCAATCAATACCCTTGGATGGTCCTATTGTTGTACAGAGGACAATTTTATTGTGGGGGTACAGTTATAAATTCACGATATGTACTAACGGCCGCTCATTGCGTTGACAGGTGATTCATCCGTTCATATCAATTTTTTATAATTATTGAATATGTATGTATCTGCAAAACAATCGTTAAAATAATCAGGTTTTTATTTACAGATTCGATGCAAATAAATTGATTGTCCGATTATTGGAACACGATTGGAACTCAACCGATGAAAGTAAAACGCAGGATTTTCAGGTGGAAAAAGCAATCAAACACAGTACTTACTCGACTACTAATTACAACAATGACATTGCACTTCTTAAGCTAAAGGATGCTATAAAATTCCAAGGTTCGATGCGACCTGCTTGTCTTCCGGAACAAGGTATATTTTGTAAAATTTATACATTCCGTAATAATTATTTTATTTTAAACGTTTTATTGCAATGTTTATTTGTTAAATGCTCGATAACAAGAATTTTAGGATTTGTATTATAGATTTTTTAAAGTAGACTTTAAAGAATTAAAATAACAATTTAAATTTGTTCGCATGATAGATTATGAATTAACTATCTGTTTTAGTAAAAACTTTTTCCGGCAAAATGGGTATAGTAACCGGATGGGGTGCTATCAAGGAAGGTGGTCAGGTATCGCACACCTTACAAGAAGTTTTTGTTCCTATTCTTACAAACGCAGAATGTCGAGCTACGAAATATCCAGCGCGTAAGATAACAGATAATATGCTGTGTGCGGGTTTCCAGAAGGGCGGCAAAGATTCTTGCCAAGTAAGCAGAAAATCATATTAAAGAAGTATTAAAACATTAATTATTTTTAAATCGTTTATTTTAAACAATTAAATATAAATTTTATAGAATACATTTTGAAATATAAAAAAAATTTTATTATTGATGTAATATAATAATTAATACAATAGAAACATGATAAATAATGAGTGTAACAAATAACAATGTTAGCATAAGTGTATTTAAAATATATATTTTTTTTATAAATTTAAAAACATTGTAAAACATGTAAATTAAAGAAATATAACAATATAAATTCTCACATTGTAGGGAGACAGTGGCGGTCCGCTGCACGTAGAAGAGAACGGTGTCCACCAGGTAGTTGGTAAGTTCTGTTTTAAATTGTATTAATCATTTAATACAGACAACACGAAAAGTCGTAAAACTTCAAGAAATTGTTAAATATAAGAAGACACTTTTAAAAAAAACGTGAGAAACCACTCTCACGTAGGAGAAAACAAATTAAAAAGACTAATTATACAGGGGTTGTATCCTGGGGCGAAGGATGCGCGCAACCTGGATATCCCGGAGTTTATACCAGAGTAAATCGATTCCTGACATGGATTGCACACAACACAAACGATGGCTGTTATTGTTGATATACAATTTTTATATAGACTGATATATTTATTTTAGTTAATTCATCATTTATACATATAACGACAAAAACACGCAAACTACAGAAACAATCAATAAAAAGCACAATAAAGTATATATTACAGTTAATAATTCTTATACTAAATTACATCAAGAATTTATTACATCATGACACGATAATTATTTAAACACATTTCTACTACGCACGTAAATGTACGTAATCTCTCACAAATGTATACATAACGTACGACATACTCTGTGACATTTTTATTAAGTACATGAATTATATACACAACACTGTATTCAATGGTTAAAAATTAAGGCACGTGCGCTCTTCACTTTGGTTTATATTCACAATATAGAATGTATAAAAGAAGAAAGTAACAAAACTTTCTCTGTTTTTCGCAATCAGACGACTTGGAATTTCAGTGAAAACTCAATGTACATACGTACATTGTATACTTGTAATGTTGTTTACATCACGCAATGAGCAGCAAATGTAATTTAAAATAAATATACGCACGTTGTGTGTACTTTATTATTGATATGTATATCTATATATTATTAATATATATTAAGATCAAGTTTCAATTAATTTAAGTATAATGTATATGTAATAATTATTTAGTAACAATTATTTTTTATATGACTAGTAAGTAATTTTGTTTATTGTACACGGTTAATGCATATGTAAGTATTAAGAAACAGTAAAAATAACTTGGTTTCTTTTCAATATTCCTTTATAATAGATAAAACATGCATTTTTATAGTAATTATAGCAATAAAGTGTATACATATTTTATTTACTTTATTATTAAAGTACTCTATGTACTAGTGACTAAAAGACCTTCAATTTTTGTGTTTTCATCATTTGATATGTCTTCCTTCATTTCATTGTTTGCCGTTGATTCTAACCAATATGTCTCCATGTTTCCCTTTCCCTTTATGTAAAATATAATTTTTTATATATGTAGCTATACGTAATATATGACATTATTAATTAATACGTTTTCGTAATACATACCTTTATCTTAACAACTCCACGTGACTCGGTATGATAACGACCTTTCGGTAACAAAGCTTTGGTGCTAGAAGAAATATGCACCTTGCCCGGCTACACCATACAATGTAATTATGAATAGTGTAAAAATATAAAAATTGAAAAGAGAAAACACATTTGTAAGGTACTAAATTTGTTTTTAATAATTAATTCACACTATTATGATATATGTGATTTACGTAATATATATGCACAATAATACGTAATTGCACAATTATACGTAATTGATATTCTTGAATTGTAGTTTTTTGATAACAAATTAAAATTACATTATCAATTTAGATATTTAGTATTCATTAATTTAAAATAATTAAATTATAGATTAACTTCTTTGGTTATTATTTTTTAAATTAAAATTATTCTAATATACGAGTATAAATAAAAATTAGAAGACACTATAAACATTCACGCGATGTATAGCGCAAAATTAGACTGATTGTGTGATATTTATCAATATACAAATAAAACGTCTTAATATGAATTATATCTTATATTTAGATTTATAAGTATTTTATGTCATTTATGTTAAGAAAAATTAAGATAACTGCATTACCAGACTAGAAGTCTGCATTCTGGAGGCCGTATTGACAGTATCTCCAAAGAAACAATATCTCGGCACTTTAATCCCGACCACCCCGGCAACCGCTGGCCCAGAATGAATCCCTAAAAAGTTTTATAATAAGTACTATTATCTCAATTAGTTAAATTAATTTCTGTTCGTTAATTCGTTGTCTCATTATACAATATAATATCCAATTTTTATAGAGGATAAAATTATTTGAAATATCGAGAAAACGAAGTTATCCCAAGAGATATAAAGAAATATAAGTATATTATATCCGCGAAGTTGGACGGCTATGTGCAGGGTTGTTACCTATGCGGATTCGTATATCCAGTCCGGAGGGTAATTTAAGAGATAGTACATGCTCGATGAGTTGTAGGGAAACGTCAGCAATGTTTTGTGCGTGGTTTTTATTTCTGTCCGGTGCACCACTAGCTGCCATGTACACGCTACCAACAGTCTCCACCTGTCACAGCACGATTGTAAATGGCAAATACAATGCACAATTGTGATCAGTAATATCATATAGTAGCTCAGATAAGCATTATCTTTGTGACCCAATAATACAAAAAAATATTTTAATGATATGTGATCAAGTCAAGATAACAAGTTATATAATGTAATTTTATGTAATTTTTTCGTTAAGATGTTTCATGCTCGTTTTTATTAATATAATTAAATTAATGTAATTAGTTTAACCTTAATCTCGGTTCAAATAACTTTTTATTTTTTTCTAATTTTGAATCTCAGGGCAACCATGATGTTTTTAATCATGTCATGTTAAAAGATAAACGAAACTAAACAAGAGAAATATATGATTTTGGTCCAATTAACTTCTAACAGGTCACGTATCATATCATCTTATATAACCATATCAAATTCTGCATTATCTCAAGCGAAATGATACATGATACTTAAAATAAAATTTATACTTACTTTATACACATTAAACTGATCCATCAATGTATCAAAACAAGAAAAAACGACATTCATTGATAAAACGATGTCCATCGCTCCTTCGATGGTTGAATAATCAAAGTCGCATAATTCACAGAAAAGAACCGTTATTGATTCGAATGACTGTAAGTAAAGCATTTTTATACGTGGTTATTCGCTAAGATCCAAAAAATCTTGAAATGTTTAAGATTGTGAAGTATATTTGCACACCTCGCACGTACTCAATGAACTAGCTCCGGCTCGTAATCGGTCTGCCACCGTTTGTGGAATCATAGAATATAGAAGCTCATCGCTTTTGTTTTTCCATCGATCCAGTAACACGTAGCTATTTTCTAGTTCTGTTGATCTTTGCTCTGCCCTCTCAAACATCATTTCCAATCTGCAAACAATATAAATTACATATCCGAAAAGTTTTATAAAATGTACTCAGTTTTAGATGAAATCGTTTTTTTTCTATTCATTAAGTAAGAATACTATTTGAGAAACGACCTTCCGCAATGCTGCCATCCTGCCAACACCAATTCTTTGCTCATACCGTGAGGATTTAGGTCATTCAAATATAGACCCATATTAAGAAGTTCGTCTAAACTATTGATTCTGTTGCAGTAAGACAATCTATTACAGATCATTTGTCTTATGGAAAATGTAATTTATGATAACATTAAAAACTTACAAAGGACTACAGAGAAATATAATGGCTTTAATATCCTCAATATATCTCATTTGACCCTTCAACAAAATACTTCTCGCACCTTGACTTCCACGCCTATCTAAACCACTGCTTGTACTTGGTACATTATCTGCATTTATCAAAGAATAATCATTTGCCCTAATTAGTTCCAATTCGAATATCACTGAATGCAAATACATTACCTAAAAATGAAACATTTATGTGTATCTGCATGTGGTATTCATGCGCGTATATATGATCTATATTACAATTAAAAACGTTACCCTAATTTATGAAACTAATATTGCAACTTTTAAAGTACATATGATTTGTATTACTTACGTTTCCCCATGTAAATGGAATTCCCTTCGGTCTTCTTAATTTGAATATTTCTAAAACATGCCTGTTTAAAATGGACGTGGTACCGCCCCATGCTTGAAGCAATTTATCACCAGCCCCTAGTATTCGCATGTCCTTGTTCATGATGACACCAAACGGAAAAAGGCGTAAAAAAAATGTACAACTTATCGGTGATAATTCACGGCCTAGTGGAGTTTTCATTCTATTGTTCTTCGTAATCTAATTCCCAATGTAAATTGTATAAAACAATAAAAAATGAATGTTAAATATAATATATTATAAATAATGTATAATTATGCATTATTTAATAAATATTTAACTAATATTAAATGTAATTACAATAAAAAGTTAAAAGCATAATTTAGTCCTGCAATAGTATATGTAATGTCAATTATAATTCTATCTAGATTTTTTAAATGCAGAATGTGAAAATATTTTGCATTTAATATTTTTTCTATTTTTTGTTTCTTTATATAATATTATAAAAATTTTCCCATTTTTTGAGCAATATTATATATATGTGTATTAATAATAATTTATTGTGTATATTTGTATATACATATATACTATGTATACATATTATATATACATGCATATGTGTGTGTATAAATATATTATTATTATATATGTACACTTTACTATGGCCTTTTTTACTTTTTAGAAAGAGAAAGAAGGTACAATACAATTTCAATTTCAAACTCACATATTGCCTGTTATCGAAATTAATACGAAATTTAACCATTACGCTTCGAGATCCTGGAATACTATTTGAACTTTCTAATACCTTAATGTCCAGTTCTATATTATACAAATCTTTCGCTATTTGAAATAATTGTCCTACGAAAAGTAAAATATTTTATATGTAATAGAAATAACTACACATACACATATAATTAAACTTAAGATTTACTTTATATCTTTTTTTTTCATATATATATTTGTATGAATATTTTGAGATAATTTATAGTAAAATTATTTTATATTTATAATATAAAACAAAGAATAAATTTCTACCCATAAGATAATGCGTAAAACCTTGCCGAGTACTTCTGTAAACTAAAACAACACCCTGTGGATCAACATGCGTTGTATACATAGACGGACTCTTCATTTTTGGATACGTGAATCTCATCTGCATATGGATATTGTCTACACTTTGTAAAAAATCACAAAAATAACGGCCAGTTGCTTTTACAGTGCAATCATACCTAAAAAATAAATCTTGTATTGTGTGATGTCATTCGTACATGACTAGAATATGACGTCAAAATGACAATTGTGTGTTTGCTACCTGGAAAGTTTCTATATATATTTTGTTTTCTTAAAGTTTATGAAGTTTAAAGGGAACATTTTGATTGATGAACATTATATAGGTATAATTTCTATCGCTTCATTTTTTTCAATGATCAAAAAATTACATATGATTGAAAAGAAAAAGCATTCCAAATTTGGAAACAGTGTATTAAAAGTAATAAAAATTTAGATAAAATATAG